ACATTATTTTTCTTCCAGTTTAGTTCACTCTTATATCTCTTGTGGATTGACCAAAAAACACTATTTCTAAAACTAGGAGTGTTCCAACCATAATTATGACTACTGGCGGCTAAAGAGACACTGTTAAATTATTTTTCTCCTCTGATTTATTCCTGTTTATTCTTCAAGACTTAACTCAGAATACTCAGTATTGTTTTTATACTCATTAGAGTAACCGTTATCAAAAAACAGAAAGTAACAACCAATGCGATGGTGCAGTGGGTAAAGGCAAGGTGCTTGCTACGCAAGCTTGACATCTTGAGTTCTCTGGAACCTTTGTGAAAGTGGAAGGAAAAAACACAAAGTTGGCTTTCAACTTCTAAGTGCATATCGTGACATACACACTCTTTTCTGCCCCATACATAATAATAATAACATATTTAAACATTTGTTCTTAAACAGAAATTGAGACATATTGGAAAGAATATGCAAATACTGGACCATTCTTGCATTGCTTTTGAGGATATAAAAGGATGCTGTTGCAGTAGAAAACAGAACGGAGATTCCTCAACAATGGACACTTACCACATGACTCAGCAATTCCACTTCTGGGTGTACACACATGAAAGCACTAAGAGCAATTCCAACATAATTTTACACCCATATTTATAGCAGCATTACTCACAAGACCTAAAAGGTGGAAGCAGTACAAGAGTTCTTGACTGAGGACTTGATAAACAGAATGTGGTACGATCATCTCCTGAGATATCACTTATCCTTAAAAGGAAAGAAAATTCTGATATATACATAAACACAGATGAATGGTGAAAGACATTATGCTAACTGAAAGAAGCAAGTTATAAAAAGACAAATATTGTCTAGTTTCACTCATCCTAGGTGCCTATAATGTCAAACTCACAGAGACAGAAATTAAAATTATAATTACCAGGGTGTAGGTGTTGAGGAAAACAGAAGTGTTTGTATTTAATGGATACAGAGCTGCAGTCTGGAGAGCAAAAGTGTTTCAGAGACTGGGTGGTGGTGATGGTTGCTCCATGGTGTGAGTGTACTTTATGTCACTGAACTTCACATTTAAAAATGGTAATTTTATATCATATATATTTTGCCATAATAAGAGCATTTCTTAGCAAAAATAAAAAGTATATTCAGTTTCAAGAGATGAGGACATATACATACATACACACATACATACATACATACATACATACATACATACATACACTAACCCAAGACTAAATAAAACAGAAAGATTGAATAAATGGAAAAATACCACTTAATGGCATTTACTGAAAAGGAACATTAAAATTCATGAAAACATCAGTTTTTCCTGAAAGAATCTGCTTTCTATAATGCCAATAAAAATATCAATGAGCTCATTAGAAATTCAGAAAATGGGAGATGAAGAAAACATCTAGAAAAATAAATGTAACTAGAAGAGTAAGGAATACTCAAGAAAATGAAAATTGAAAACTTGTCCTCGTGTGTAATAAGCTAGAATTCATACTGCTCTTCAGATTTCTAGATTCTGCTGGTCCAACAGAAGAAAACCTAGAAATTGTTTCCATGTAGAATGGGTATTCAGTAACAGTTACTCTTCAGCATGCTCTTACTATAGGCCATGTATTATTCTAAACCCTTTACATATGCCAACATGTAAGTCCTAAAAAGCACTCTAAAACATGGTTCCTACTATCCCCATTTTGTACATAGTAGAACAGGTTTGTGCAGTCAGTAAGGAATGGAGCCAGAATTTGGACCCAGGAAGTCTATCTCTTGATCACTCTGCAGTTAAAGCAGCAAGCATTCAAATACATACGACAAACAGAAGCTCTGTTTTGCTTTTTATGTCATAGCTAATTCTAGATATTTTAAATAATATGATTAAAACTACAAGAACATATGAACTTTTGCTAATCTGGGGGTGTTTATTTGTTGAGATAAGGTCGCCTGGAGTTCACTATGTAGGCCAGGCTGGCCTCAAATTCAGAGATCAGCCTGACTCTGCCTCTGCCTCAGGAGTGCTGGGATTAAAGGTGTGCCCCACCATGCCAGGCTTTTTGTTATTGTTGTTGTTTTTATTCTTTGAAATTTCCTCCATGTGTATAATGTAGCCTTGATTTACCACTCCATCCCCCACTCCCAGTGAACTCCTTGTGCTTTTAAAATTTATACTGCAAAGAAACCTCTTTACAGCCCACACAAATGTCAAAATCAAAGTCAAAAAGTGTTAAAGAAGCCAGGCATTGTGGCTAAAAGGTCTTATGGAAGGCAGGATGATGGTACACAACTGTAACTGCAGCACTCCGAAGTCAGAGGCAGGAGGAGTGTGAGTTCCAGAACAACCTGGGCTGCCTAGCACGGCCTTGTCTCAAAGTAAGTAAATAAACAAGACTGATAGACCCGTCTATAAGCATTTTAAACCCATAATTAAAGTCAAATAAGCAAAGAAGTGAAGTCATAATCACAGTGCACTTGACAGGCAGATGTTAACATCTATCCAGTGCACAAAAATCTTTCACACATCAGCGAGATGATGATAAACGTGCCAAACGGAAAAATGTATGAACAATTCATAAAAATGAAAAAAATAGCATATGCCTTTAATTTCAGCGCTCGGGAGGCAGACACTGGTGGGTCTCTGTGAGTTCCAGGCCAGTCAGGGCTGTGTAGTGGGACCCCATATTAAGAAAAAGAAAAGTGGGTTGGAGAAATGGCACAGCAGTTGGGAGTGAGCACTACTTGTCCAGAGGACCTGCATTTAGTTCCCAGCACCCACATCAAGCAGCCCATAATGCCTGCAACTCCAGTTCCAGGGGGATCCAATGCCTCTGGCCTCCAAGGTCACTTGCATTCACATGCACATACCCCACACAGGCATACACACATACACATAATTTAAAATAAAAGTTAAATCTTAAAAAAGCCTAAAGAAAAAATAAGATATAGATACAGAAGAAAATATGCAAAGATTTCCCCCCACCTTTTTTTTTAATCCTAACAAGTTTGCTGGACTTGCTAACAGAACATAGGGTGGGGGATTATTTACAGAAGACTGGGCATCCCCCCCATTTACGGCTGTACTTGGAAAGTCCACACTCAAATATAGATCCTGTGACTTCCTGATATTAAAAGATTTTTAAACTTCCTATTGACTAAAGAATTTCACATTTGAATGAAAACTAATTTTTCATTTATCCCATTGGCAAAGAGATAAATGACTGATAAAATCAAATATTGAGGTAGATATAGAAAGAGGGCTGGGGCTGTAGCTGCATGCTAGCATGTGTGAGCCCCAAGATTTGATCCCAGCACTGCAAAA